GAACTGTACAAGATCCTGCAGGGGCCTGATGTCTTCTGGGAGCTCATTCCACCAGTATGGAGCCGCCACTGAAAAGGCCCTGGCCCTGGTGGCAGCAAGCCTGGCGTCCTTAGGGCCTGGGAGAGTCAGTCAATGTTGTGACCCCGACCGTAGCGCTCTCTGGGGTATATATGGGGAAAGGCGGTCCCTCAGGTATGTCGGACCCTGGCCATATAGGGCTCTTTGTCCATATTGATTTCAACACACAGCCAGGACATAACAGAAGAAAGGTCACAGGCCTTGGACATAAGGTGAGGTCTGGCACAATGAAAAAGTGGCAGAAGGAGATTTCTACAGGCTTGTGTGCACATAATCAAGCAATGTTTCCCAGTAGCCTCTGGGACATTTCATATATTTTTATAGGCATTTGGAAGAACCCAACCAATGTGCTCCAATGGTAGGTGTAGCACATCTCTTTTTAGATGACATGTCCTCTTTTTTTGTGTCTGTCCTCTTTTGGGCTCTTTCTGAAAAACTGAAGAAAATGACCTCTTTTTGGGTTGGAAGGTTAGGAATACTCCTAGTTAGTAGCAATTCTCACAGCTTAAACAGTAGGGGTATTTAAAATTTGTCATAGTGATCACTCTTTTGAAGTAGTCAGTCGAGAAATAGGTCCTCTTTTTTGCTTTACAAAATATGGCTAACCCTAATGGCCATTTGCCATCATTTGTTTAGAGCATCCCCATAAGAGAGAGATGAGAGCAGACAGTGAATCGGCTACCAGCTTAAGGTTTAGCATGGTTACGGAGGAATTTCCATAATCTTTTACGAAGAGTTGGATTTATACCCCACCCTTCACTACCGAAGGAGTCTCAGAGCAGCTTACAATCTCCTTTCCCTTCAACACAACAGACACCCTGTGAGGTAGGTGAGGCTGAGAGCTCTCTCCAGAACTGTCCTTGAGAGAACAGCTCTGAGAGAACTTTGACTGACCCAAGGTCACACCAGCAGCTGCATGTGGAGGAGCGGAAATCAAACCTGGCTCTTAACCGCACTCTTAACCACTACACCAAAAAGACCTGCAGGGGGAAGCCTCATCCTGTACCTTGAGAGAAAGCAGAACCATAAATACCCCCAAAAAAGCACTGTAATAAGAGGCTAAAAAAATAAATATTAATTGCAAAACTATATGAAACTTTAAAGACTGAATAAATTACAAAGTCAAGAGAAGTACAGATTTGTAAAGCATAAACATCATAAAGTCCCAAATTGTGGAAACCAATTTTAAAGGCAAGGTAAGTTTCAAATTGTGGAGCTGCGGTGGCTCAAGTGGTTAAGACGCTGAACTGCAGGCTGTGGAAGGTCAGTAGCTCAGCAGTTCGAGACCCGGGTGCCTCAAGATGGAGTGAGCTCCCGTCTCTAACTCCAGCTCCTGCCAACCTAGCAGTTCGAAAGCAAGACATTGCAAGTAGATAAATAGGGACCACTTCGGTGGGAAGGTAACAGCATTCCGTGCGCCTCAGTGTTTAGTCATGCCGGCCACATGACCACGGAAACGTCTTCGGACAGCGCTGGCTCTTCGGCTTTGAAACGGAGATGAGCGCCGCAACCCTAGAGTCGGATTCGACTAGCTTTCGAGCAAGAGAACCTTTACCTTTACCTAAGTCTCAAATTACGGAAACTTGCCACAATTTGGGACTTAGCTTGCCTTTAAAATTGGTTTATGATGTTTATGCTTTACAAATCTGTTCTTATCTTGACTTTCTAATTTATTCAGTCTTTAAAGTTTCATATTTTTTGCAATTAATATTTATTTCTTTAGTGTCTTATTACAGTACAGTTGGGTTTTTGTTTTTTGTATTTTTGGTTCTGCTGAAAGGAAGCAGGGCTGCTTAGTTCCAAGCTGGTGGGGAGACTGCAGTTGCTCAGTGCAGAGGAGAAAACACTCTGTACATGTCCCACTGGAATCTATGTTGCCCCCCCCCCAAGCACCAAGGAGGCTTGAAACCACTACTTTATGTATTTATGCAGTGTTAGCCAGGAGTTCCCAAGATTGTCTGGCAGCTACAAGTTTTAGCTCTTTTAGCATTATGCACCACTGGGGGAAGAGCTAGACTTGTTTTTTAAGGCAAGAGACCTTTCAGGGGTGGTTTCCCATTGGCTGCCTCTGCCTCATGACCCTGGTATTCCTTGGAAGCCTCCCATCACTTGCCAGGGTCGACCCTGTTTAGCTTCTGAGATGTGATAAGATTGGGCTCGCCTGGCCTATCCAGGTCAGGGCTCCGCCCAGGGTTAGAGCTGGAGACTCTAGGGATCAGCCTTGAGCATTCTAGCCGGGCGAGCGACTCAGCACTTTGCACACGCTCAGAGTCCTGAGCCCAAATTACACCAGAAGTTGTTGTTGTTGTTTTAACAAGTGGGCTCCAGGTGTCCCCCCCCCCCCTCGCTTTCACTGAAATCTGCATGGCCCACAGATTTTTCAAGGGAGGTTTCTCGCAGCTACCGCGAGGGGGGCGAGGGGGACCCAGACCCGACGCATTACAAGGCGTCTTTGTTCGGTCCAAACCGGCCACTACCCGGGAGGTTTCAGAACCGACGCAGTTCTCCATCCGTTCCGCAGGCGAGGCCAGCTCCGCGGGGCTTGGGGGAAGAGAGCTGGAAGGCCGGGCACGGGGAGGTCCGGCTATGGTGGAGCCCCGGCGTCGGGCGGGCCCTTCCAGGGGGCGGCGGCCTCTCCCTGCGGGCTGCCATTGGTCCGGCGAAGGACTCAGACTAGAGTCCAGAAGTTCAGGCCGCGCCGCTCCGCTGGGGGGACATGATCCTGGCTCGGCATGCAGGGGGGCCCCGCCTGGCCCGGCTCTTGGCAGCGGGGAAGGGCCCCAGCCCGGCGAGGGGAGGTAAGCGAGGGGCAGGCAGCGCGAAAGGGCACCGGCGCGGAGGAGCCTTTCCCATTCGGGACCGTCCCGCTAAAGAGCAGTTCGGTCTGTGGCTCCGCCCGGATCCTGATCTCAGCATCCCCCGGGGCAGTGTGTGGAAACCTCCGTCCTTCTTCGCCTCTCCAAAGCTGGGGCGTGAAGTGCCTCTGGGGATGTGCAGAGCGCATTTCCCGAAGACTCGTGGCCACGCCTTACATGATGGGGATTCCGAGGAAGGGGTTTCCAAGCAGAGGCTGTCTTGAGACCCGGCAGTGTGGGTAGCGTGAAACCTTTGGGAAAAATATCCCAGTTCTGCTGATTTCCTTTGCATAAGAACCTAAAAGAAGCCAATGTTGGATCAGGCCAATGGCCAATCCAGTGCAACACTGTCACACAGTGGTCAAAAACACCCGGTGCCATCAGGAGGTCCAGCAGTGGGGCCAGGACACTAGGAGCCCTCCCACTGTTGCCCCCCCCCCAAGCACCAAGAATACAGAGCATCACTTGTCCCAGACCAAGAGTTCCTATCTATACCTTGTGGCTAATAGCCACTGATGGACCTCTGCTCCTTTAAGCTGTTTTGTTTGCTTGTATTTGGAAGTAAATCCCAATGGACTCACTGGAATTTGATTCCAAGTAAACATCCCTAGGATGGGGGTGCAAGATTTCAGAGAAAAGAAGGCTATAGCTAGGGTTGCCAACAGGCCTGGAGAAAAAAACCTCCTGGCCCTTTAACAGAGGTTTAATTAAATGTTCTTTACCTCCTTGCCATGAAAAGCTTAAACTCACCATTTCCATGTGTTAAACCTGTATTAAAAGGATTTTCTCCAAGCATTCTGGCAACCCTACCATATCCTGCTCTGAGCTTCTTTTAATTGTAGGATTTTTTTTTAAGTAAATAAATAAATACCATAAGTTAAGCTCACTTCCCTTGTCCCTGGCAGAGAAGGACAGATGTTGAAAAACTCAAGACAGATGTTGAAAAAACTCAGATAGCAAAACTGCTTAAAGAGGGTGGGAGAGAGCTCCAGGGAAGGAATTTGAATCAAGCTCAAAGTACAGATGGCTTTTAAAGACAGACTGACAGAAAGCTTCTTCTGTGTGGAAGAACCCACTTCTTGCTATCCTGAGGGGTTGCAACTGCATAGAAGGGCTAGAGTATGGGACACTTGGGTACTATCCACATGACACTAACCCCAGTTCTATAGTCAAGCTGTTGCACACAGGCTGATAAAGATTAGCTCACTTGATCAAATGGCACAAATTGGCCGATTTCCCACAAGCGCTGCTCCGCACTTGCTCTTCCCTTTTGCCCCAATGGTACGTGTCAATTTCACACAAGCTGCTGCATGGCCGCATTTTGCTCCGCTTCTACTCAGTCCTCAAAAAACAGAATTGAGTAGATACAGGGAAAATCACACAAAGCTCCGGGGTAAAATGTGGCTGCGCAGCAGCTTGTGTGAAATTGACCCATACCATCGGGGGAAAAGGGAAGAGCGAGCGTGGAGCAGCGCTTGTGGGAAATCGGTATGTTTTATAAATTGTTGGATCCCAGGACAGAGCCCTACAGTTCAACACAGCAGTGGTCTGTCACAAGGGTCCCAACCTCTTAGAGCCCGTGGGCACCTTTGGAATGCTGAGGCAGAGCTGTGGGTCCAACCATGACATGGCTGCTACAGGAGGCGGAGCCAGCCACAAAAAGGTCATATGGAGTGAGGTCATGTGTAACTCTAGCGTTAACTCTTCGACATTTCAGACAGAAGCGCCGCTTTTAAAATGACTGTTATTTTCTCACAGGCACACATCTTACCTTCACTCACACAGTGAAGATCTTCGTGCTGTGGGAACAGCTCCTGCCCAAGGAACTTAAAAAATTTGCACAGCCGATCAGAAGCCCTGCTGGGTAAAAGCCTCACCTGGCTTTGCCCGCTTTCTAAAAACATTGGCGGGCGCCACCTTGGGGACCATTGGTCGGCCACCTCAGACTTGTTTTCAAATGAAATTTCATTACATTGATTGCACTAGTGAATGTTAAAAATTCTAACCCATTGCACTTTTTTTAAAATTGCGTAGG